ATTTTTAGGTTTACCATCTGACATAACCTGTGATATTAGCAACATATGTTTAATAAAACACTGTGTATAAAATGGCTCACTGAGTGCTGTGCATTAACGTATATCCCTTCCTGACGTTATGCTATGCCGTCCTACAATACGAGGGCTTAACAATGTTAGGGCGGCTGAGCAGGCCAAAATAATCTGGCCCCCCTCCTGTCCTACTTATAACCCAGCAACCAGATCGCAGTCTGCGAGTCTGCCTGCCAACCCCAAAGTTCTCTGCCCCTCTCATCCCTCACTTCGATCTGAAGGTGTAAGAGGCAGAGATATCTTTGATACTTAGTGTGAAATTGTTACAAAGTGTGGAACTAATCTACTATGTTTTTTAAACCGTTTCAGTGTTGATCACAGTATTAATCCTAATTATGGTGATTAGTACATTAGTTAGTCCATTAGTAGTAATATTTTTATTTTATTTTATTAGAGTGAAAAATATTTTTGTCAGCTACAGCAGTTTTAAACTTTTATAACCCCTTGCGGCTGTCTAATCATTGTACTATACAGTATCTGTGCTGCATTATTTAATAATAATATAATAACAAAGTATTTAACCAGGAGCAGTACATTCCAAGTATGTCCTGGGGATGTTACTTTTGCCCATCATCCAGGGCATGTTAGTATCAGTGTTATCAGAGAGCCCTCTGGTTAAACTGACATTTGTTTCCCATACACTCTGTGGCAAACACTTTCCTTCCAAAATTCTACCCCCCCTCCCCCCCCCCCACCCTGTAAAAAATCACCCCAGAGAAAGTGTCACGTTTGCTCTAGTTATTACTACCCTTCCTGCCCATTGCTACCTGTCCTGTGTTCTACAGATTGTTTCAGAGTCTTCCATCCAGAGTTGAACTATTGAATCACTCTGTATGTGACTTTATTAGTTTGTTTGATTGTTCTGAATTCCTGTCCTGATTACTATTTGTTAGCTGCAAGTACTGACTTGTTTTCTTGTTATACTGACTACTCTGACTATGTTCTCTCAAAGACAGCATAGGCCCAGAAAATTACGTTGTCAAATTCCCAGGTTAGAAGACTGAAATGGTCATGTCCTATATTTGACCCTGTAACTTTCCAAAACCCCATAAAAGCTGGACATTGGGAGCATCGTTGTACCTGTGGGACATCACAGCGTACAAATGTGTATTTGACTGCAGTAAAAGCTAACAGTATTAGGACATTCACAGTTAAAATACCAAGCAGAACTTATAAAACTTATAACAGCATTTCTTTATTTGTAACAATTTTATTTTTAGATTTTATTCATTTTAATGCAATTGTTTCATATTTTAATATTTGACGTGAACGCCTTGTTTCTCCTGAACAAAATTATATATAATAAGTGTGGGTGCACTTAATATGAAAGAGGTGAATTATGGTTCAACAAACGTATAGGTCAACTTCTAGGTTTTGTTTTTGTTCAGAATTTGTACAATTTCCTCTGTTCTTAAGGGGTTAACATGGTCACTTATTTTTAAGTTGTGATCTATATATTTGTCTAGATAAAGTAGTTTTGCTAACATTTATTCCAACGTCATGCAGGTATCCCTCTAACTGCCGCTGTGCTCTGGCAGAGTTTATCATCATCAGATCATCTCAGCCAATCCAACGTCACTCCACGGGGCCCGGCCGCAGTTGTGACCCTTGCGACCATGGACCACCGGCATACCTTCAGAGCCGGTTCACAGACGATGCTTCTCTCCCCTCCCGCTGTATGTAGTGTTGTTGAGTGGTCTGCAAGGAAGTGCACACTAAGAGAGCACTTCCTGTCAGACCAGGTACCAGGGTGAGCAGATATACGAGTGGAGGGGGGAGATACACATGGAGAAGCTAGGGCAGTGATGGCAAACCTTTTTGAGCCCGAGTGCCCAAACCACAATACATGCCAACTTTTTTTTCCTTAAACACGGCAATTAAACCTTAATACTGAGGTTTAAGTTTAGAAAAAACAACTCGTACTGTTGTCCGAACTAATTAACAACTTTTGTTTTAAAAGAACACAACAGAGCGTTCAATAATACAAATTTAAAAAAATGATATAAATAGATAAAATTAAGCTTATATTTAGTAGTATTTCCAACAAATGCAATACATACACACACAGACTGCTGAATACAGGACCGAATTAACATAGGGGCTGATGGAGCTGCAGCTCCAGGCCCAGGCCCATGGAATAGGCCCATTGATTTACACACTACTCTTAGGGATTCCACCTGGCTTTTATTTTATTGGCACAGCCAGTATTTGAGGCTGCCTGGCTGGTGCCTATATTGCAGTGATACTGGCAATACAAATGCTGGTATTTTTCTCAGTATAAACAAGAGATTACTATGCAATACCAGCACTGGCCAGTAGGGGTCGCTGTGTGTGGAGACAGGCAGGGATAGGAAGTTTCAGCATATCTCTCCCTGCCTATCTATACTCACTGATCTGCAGGGGTGCAGCTACAGAGAGTCCAGACAGCAACTCCCACCCTGCAGAGACAGCCTACAGCTCAGGGAAGTAAGGGATGGGGGGAAAGGCTGCAAGGAGACATACACTGGGACACTAAGGGACACTGGGAGACATTATGGCAGACACTGAGACACTAAGGGACATTGGGAGACATTATGGCAGACACTGAGACACTAAAGGGCACTGGGAGACATTGTGGCAGACACTGGGACTCTAAGGGACACTGAGAGACATTATGGCAGACACTGGGACACTGGGAGACATTATGGCAGACACTGAGACACTAAGGGACATTGAGAGACATTATGGCAGACACTGAGACACTAAGGGGTACTGGGAGACATTATGGCAGACACTGAGACACTAAGCCAGTGTCTCTAGTGTCTGTGTCCCTGGTGTCTGTGTCCCCATGTCTTAAAGTGTCCCCTATTTTCCCATTGTCCCCATGTGTCCCAGCCAGAGTCCCCTAGTCTCCCAGTGTCACTGGTGTCTCCGTGTCCCTAGGTCTCCCCGTGTCCCCAGGTCTCCCCGTCTTCCTAATGTCCTAGTGACATGGGGACCCTGGGATACATGGGGACACAGGGAGACATGGGGAATTGAGACACTGTGATACATAGGAGCACTGGGAGATCTGGGGACAGGACACTAGGGGACACTGGGAGACATGGGGCACTGATACATGGGAACACTGAGACCTGGAGTAATCGACACATGGGGGCACTGAGTCATGAGGGCACTGGGAGACACGGGGGCACTGGGAGGAATCCATCTATACAGCAGAATCAAACTAAGTAGTTTTTTGGTGATTTTACAGCATTTTCTCTTATGTCACTCCTTGTGATTTATATCATGTGATGTCACCCATACATATTTAATTATGCAAATTGTTTTTCCAAGAAAGGTGGCAACCCTAACTACTTTTCACATACTCTTACTTAAGTATGGAAACTTAAGTGGGATGTATGGGAACAAAACTTGTGTGGACTGGCTGACAATGAATATAGTTAAAGGGACACTATAGTCACCAGAACAACTACAGCTTATTGAATTTGTTCTGGTGAGTAGAATCATTACTGTCAGGCTTTTTGCTGTAAACATTGTCTTTTCAGAGAAAATGCAGTCTTTACATTACATCCTAGTGATAACTTCACTGGCCACTCCTTAGATGACTGTTAGAGATCCTTCCTGGGTCATGGCTGCCTAAAATGCATCCAAACATTCAGTGTCTCCTCCCTCTGCATGCAGACACTGAACTTTCCTCATAGAGATTCATTAATTAAATTCATCTATATAAGGAGATGCTGATTGGCCAGGGCTGTGTTTGAATCATGCTGGCTCTGACCCTGATCTGCCTCTTTGTCAGTCTCAGCCAATCCTATGGGGAAGCACTGTGATTGGATCAGGCCACCACTTCTAATGATGTCAGCAGACTGCTTGTTTTTATGAGTCTAACAGCATGCAGAGTTACAGCTTCAGGCTTGAATATAGTAAGATTTTGCTATATTTATGGAGGCATGAGGGGCCCAGGGGGGCTAGATGGTGGTGTTAACACTATAGGGTCATGAATTCATGTTTGTGTTCCTGACCCTATAGTGATTCTTTAAGGTAATGCTGACTTTGGTCTCTCTAACACTGTGGCATGTTCCCTTTCTTCTACACTCACTACATACAGCTTTTCTCTGTCCCAGACCATATACCAGGAGCTTCTGCCTGCTAGTAAGAAAGTAAGGAGACAAGTGGACCAGCGAGTGCTAGGGGACAGTCCTTAGAAAGCGTTGAGTGAGCGCATCATTAGATGCATTTATGCCAAGCTCAGGGTGCTGTCTGTATAGTACGCCCTTAGTTGGCCAACTGCATGATTGGCAGGCAGCCTGACATGCATTCATGCCAGGCTGGCCTTCTAATTCTTTGAGCAGACATGTCCTCTTTTTGGGCATGTTTGCCCCTTTTGGCAGGTTATGTGATTTGTGTCAGTGGCACACCCTTTTACCGTGCCTATTGACTTCCTGCTTGACTGGACACTGCTGTTAGGGGTTATGGATTTACTTGAAAGATGAAAACATAAATTAGAGAGAGATTGGCATAGGGTATGTGTTTTCGTATAGCTGCTGTTTTCTCTCTCTCCAGCACCATCTCCATCAGATACATGATGCTTGGGAGTGTTTTACTGTTTTTGGTGGATATGATTCTGTAATTAGGCCCGTCATAATTGTCAGCAACAGGCCCACTGGGCTCTTAATCTGGCCCTGGCTGAATACATACACACAGTCTGCTGAATATACACACACACAAGACTGCTGAATACAGAGACTGATGAATACACACACACGGGGGGGTAGGGGTACTCTGTGGGGGGGTAGGGGTGCTGTGTGTGTGGGGCTGGGGTAAAGGTGTTTAAAAAAAAAAAAAAGTATGCTAAATCAGTATCCCCGCCCCCTCTTACCTTTAATGAAGGAGGGGGGGGACGACAAGCCATCCCTGATGGTCCGGTGGTGGCAAGCACTGCTTCCGTGTCGGGAGGCAGGGGAAGGGATCTGAGAAGCAGCTCCCCTGCTTGCTCGCGGGAGGACAGGGGAGCTGCTTCATAGATCCCTCCCCTTGCCTCCCGACACAGAAGCAGAGTAGGCGCCTGCCGTTTTGGGCAGGCAGGTGCCTACTCTGCATTGATGGCGTACCTATGGCCATGTGCCCACAGAAAGGGCCCGGCGTGCCACCTGTGGCACACGTGCCATAGGTTCGCCATCACTGAGTTAGGGGGAGGGAATGGAATAATGAAGGGGCTAGGGGTGAGGGAAGGGAACACATGGAGGGGAGGAAATGAGAAACTTGGATGGGCTTTGGGGGGAGTTGAGACACATGGAGGGACTTTGGGTGGGGGGAGTTGAGACACATGGAGGGACTTTGGGTGGAAGGAAATGAGACACATGGTGGGGCTTTGGCGGGAAATGAAACACACAGAGGCGCTATAGGGGTATATGAGACACATGGAGGGGCTGGGGGATAAATGAGACATATGGGGAGGGCTGGAGGTGAATGAGACACATGGAGGGGGTGGGGGAGAACGAGACACATGGTGAGGGCTGGAGAGGAATGAGACACATGGAGGGGCCTGGGGCAAAGGAATGAGACAAATGGAGGGGGTGGGGGAGAATGAGACACATGGGGAGGGCTGGAGGGGAATGAGACACATGGAGGGGGTGGGGGAGAATGAGACACATGGGGAGGGCTGGAGAGGAATGAGACACATGGAGGGGCCTGGGGCGAGGGAATGAGACAAGTGGATAGGCCGGGTGAGGTAAGAACGAGACACATGGGATGATCCCAGGCCCAGTGATTTCTATGGCTCTGTAACAAAGTATTGCACTTATTTTTCCAGTTGGTATGCAAAGACTTCACTTCGGTTGAGCTGAGTTACAAATTGACTTCTGTGCATCACACTATTAAGTAATAATGTGGCTCTTTATGCTGTCTACTAAATTGAGCTGTATGTGTTTATATATACTCATGTTCCTCTACAGCAGAGGTCTCAATGTCAATTTACCTAGACTGGTCGAGAAGTAGTCCTTCCACGAAGGTGGCAGATATTTACTGCCAGATGTGCGCCAGTACATAGTATTCTTATGCACACAGCCAGACTGCTACATACTCCAATACACATACATTCCAGGACTCACACATATAGCTACACATTCCCACACACACATAATATACAGTCCTTCTCCAGTATCTATAACGTGGCGGGTAGCTCTTCTCCTCTCCGCCTTCTCTCCTCCTCCTCGGCCGAATGTGCATGCGCGGCAAGAGCTGCGCGCGCATTCAGCCAGTCTCATAGGAAAGCATTATCAATGCTTTCCTATGGACGCTGGCGTCTTCTCACTGTGAGAAGCACGCAAGCGCCTCTAGCGGCTGACAATGAGACAGCCACTAGAGGCTGGATTAACCCTAATATAAACATAGCAGTATGTTTATAGAAAAAAGGGTTAACCCTAGCTGGACCTGGCACCCAGACCACTTCATTAAGTTGAAGTGGTCTGGGTGCCTATAGTGGTCCTTTAAGGCACTTGTTCACCCTTTGCTTTTAAGAATCGCCTTCTTTACAGCTTAGCACTTGACCCCGGTAGTAACAGATTACTATGAGCATTTAATATCATGATGCATTATTAAAGCTACTTGCATTTTCACAAATGTTAATTGCAGGGATCTCTGTACAGAGAGAGGATGTATCTAGACACAGCAGATGATGTACAGATAATGTAAGTGCTGTTGTTCTTTTTCTTAGGAAAGATATAACAATTGAACATGTAACAGTAGTGGACAGAGAACAAGCTAAGCGGGTTGCCTATTCAGTTATCTATGGTGCAGGTAGGATTATTCCAGAAATGTCTAGATATTATATAAATAAGGCTAAAGTATTCTCTATTAATTACATCAACACCATCTAATTATAATTAGCCCAAGTAGCTCCCTAGCTCCTAGTAAGAGTATGTTTCATGTATGCCATGTTAGCCTGAGTCCATAACAAACTACATTTCTATGGCAGTATTTAGGATGGTTGGTATCTTGTCATATTTCTTCATAAGAAGCCATTTTCAACATGAGTTTATTACGTTTTTGACCTTTGGTAATACATTGATACCCACCCAATAGTTTCCATGGTTGCATAGCGTCAATATGGACACATTTGTGATCCAGACATTGGTCATTAAAGGGTTAAAATGCCTGCATAGTATTGCAGAAAGTATATACCTATTTACTCCGAGTGTGGGCTGTGCAAAATACTAAATCCACTTGACGATCACATTGCTAGAGTCACTTATTTTTTTTAAATCACATCAATACTAAAACTATTTAGTATTTGTGCACGTGTACCATCCGCAGGTAAAGAACGTCTGTCAGAATGCCTGGGCATTACACCAGCAGAGGCTAATGCATTTATAGAGCGGTTCCTTCAGAAGTACAGAGTATCAGACTTTACCCAGAGAGTTATACACCAGTGCCACAATAATGGTAAGATCTGTGTTTAACAAAAACAAAACCATAAATGAAGGAAATAAATAACAAATTATTCAACCCGTGATAGTTATGGAAGATGACTATACAGAATATTTATTTATATAGTGAACTTCCTAAATAACAATTGTGTATGCTAAGATTTGTTATGTGAGGAGGATTATTGGGAAATGTGTGTATCGGGTTTGGCTGTATTGCTTGCTGTGTCTCAGGTTTAGTTTATTTTGCCAGATTCAGAACTTGTTTACGTAAAGGACCCTACACGGTTATGTTAAGCCTGTACAGCCAAGTAGGCTAGAAGACAGAAAGTATATTGCCTTGTCACACATAGCTCCGATGTTCAGTATTTTCACACATAGTATATAAATGAGAGACTTTGGAAGTATATTTCATCTCAGTCATAAAATGGATTGATTACAATTGTGCAAATACAGTAATATAGATAACAATCATGCTGCTTTAGAGAAACTGGCAAGTATAAAAAATGCCCCAGAATAATACACACGTTAAAGATACTAGGCATGTGCATGGGGAAAATCTTCGGTTCGGTTCGGCATTCCGAAATTCGGGACTTTCACAATTCGGGAATTCGGCACTTAACCACTTCGACACTTCGGAAATTCGGCACTTCAACACTTCGGAATTTCGGGACTTTGGGACTTCTCTTGCAGCCGCTTAGTAGATATCTCCCTAATTCCCACAGTATTAGGGAGCTATCTACTAAAAGGCTGAAAGACCTGAATTGGTTTTTCAGCCAAATTTACTAATACTAAGTAAAGATTACTTAGTATTAGTAAATTATGCCCCTACTTGCTATACCGCATGTCTAGTAAACAGCCCCTCCCGAGCCCCCACCCGCAACACGTGAGTGGGGGCTTTTAAATTGGAATAAGGGGGGGACCTAATGTCCTCCCCCCTGGCCCCCACCCCTGAGCGGCGGGTGGGGGCCCTAAATACTAATGGGGGGACCTATTGTCCTCCCCCTGGCCCCCACCCCTGAGCGGCGGGTGGGGGCCCTAAAAAAAATGTTACCCCCCCCAGGTGACTCTGGGTCCCCAAACCCCTAGTCACCCCATTCCCCCCCCCCAAAAAATTAACCCCCTACCTGCCCTCCTCCCCCTAAACATGATGATGGGGGGAACTTTAACTAAGTACCTGTAAAAAAAAAATAAAACTTACCATTCAATGTTTTCATTCTTCTAAAATCTTTTTTCAGCCACAAAAAAGGCCAAATAAAAAATCCATAATAACCGACGCAATTAAAAAAAATTTAAAATCCATCTTCACCCGGTGAGGGCTACGCGCAGACTGACCTCTGCAGAGCGGGGAAGGCTTATAAAGCCTTGCCCCGCCCTACAATTAGGCCCAGAGCACTCTGGTGGGTTTAAGCCATCCAATCAGAGTGCTCTGACAGGTAAATAAAGAGACTGACAGGTAAGTCTCTACATTTACCTGTCGCAGCACTCTGATTGGTTGGTTTGAAATCCACCAATCAGAGCGCTTTGTGTCATTTTACACAGCGTGGGAAGGTTCTTTGGAATTTTCTCACGCTGTGTAATTTGACTCATAACTCTCTGATTGGTTACTTAATCCACCAATCAGAGTGTTATGAGTCAAATTACACAGCGTGGGAAAATTCCAAAGGGACAGGCTGCTCACTGTTTAATAGACATGCCCCTACTCACGGTATAGCAAGTATGGGCATAATTTACTAACCCTAAGTAATCTTTACTTAGTAAATTTGGCTGAAAGACCAATTCAGGTCTTTCAGCCTTTTAGTAGATAGCTCCCTAATACCGTGGGAATTAGGGAGTTATCTACTTATTCATTCCTGTCATTACATTGACTGGCCAAGTAACTTACATTTTATATGAATGTATGTTACTTGATTGTTGTAAGTGTTGCAAATGCTGAATCCTGGCTATGTTTGTATACTTTTCATTTTAAAATTGTATACAATGTAACACTCTTCTTCTTTCACTGGGTAAGTATATTAGTACTTAGGCAATACTGTGCTTCGGAACGTCGGCACTTTGACACTTCGGCAACTTCGGCACTTCAGCACTTCGACACTTCAGAAATTCGGTAATTTCGGAACTTCGAGACCTCAGCAATTCGAAATTCACCCAAATTCATATTCGGACCGAAACGAATTGCACATATCTAAAAGATACTAATATTTCCATATAGTAAAACAATGACATACAAAAGTATTTACATCCTTGAATGTGTGCAGTGTTACAATCTGGAATTAAAGGAACACTGACAAACCCCATAAAAATGTATGTATCATCAAACTTAAATCATCAAAATACTTTGGACATTTAAAATGCTAGCTTGTTGGGCAAATCAAATAATGAATATCCTCATATGATCTCACTGACAGCCACTAGAGACCGCTTCCGTGATTCTCATTGTGAAAATCACGGTGAGAAGACGCTGACGTCCATTGGAAAGCATTGAGTAATGCTTTCCTCTGGGCGGTTTAAATGTGCGCGTGGCTCTTGTCGCAAATTCGCATTCGGCGCTGACATCGGCAGGAGGAGGAGAGTTCCTTAGCGCCGATGGAGCCTGGCACTGGAGAAAGGTAAGTGGCTGAAG